TTTATTAGTCACAGTTTAAATTCAAAAAGTAGCTAATGAAGCAAAAGGAAACCAGAAACAAACCATATTGACGAGAGTTCCAAGGCAAACCAAGATAATTAATTACACATTCCAGGAAGATAACTGGGGAGAGTCCATGAGAAGAATGCCAACAAAGATAAAGCTCATCCAAGGAAAACACTAGACTTCAGCGTCTGTTGAACATGCAGTTTCAAACTCTTATACAGAGCTCACAGTTGCAACCCATGAGGAGGATCATGGCCCTCTCCTCCCGAGTAGACCATGCTTTTCCCTGATCCTCTCTTCCCTGCGTGCCCTAGGATGGATAGGGGATGGGCCTGGATCCTCCTCTGATTGCTCAGCCGGCCTCCCACCCTTCCCCAGCCTCCTCCACCACCTCTGGAGCCACACTTCCACTCCCTGTTGGCTGTTCCTCCTCTTCCTCAGAGTCAGTCTCCACCAGGGGCATGGCAGTTAGTGACAAGTCTGTTAAATGAATCTGGCTTCCCCATTGACTTGTTAGAAGGTTGGAAAAGGGGACCACATGACCCCAGGACACTACAGCCATCATAAATCTGAACCAGTTACCAAGCATCTGAATTTTGATCACATGACCACAGGGATGCTGCAATGGTGGAAGTGTGAAAAATGGTCATGAGACACTTTTTTTCAGTGCCGTTGTAACTTTGAACGGACGCTAAGTGAACTGTTGTAAGTTGAGGATTACCTCTAAATCACTTAAAGAGAGCATTATAATCTGGTTCGTATTTGTGTTCACCTCTCAATATGAGGTGTAAACAGTGATGAGTAGCTTTCTCTCTCTCTTAATTGTACTAGGGACATTCCTGAAGAGCCAGGGTCTGTGGATGCGTAGTACAGTGTGGTCAGCAATGGAGGGCCAAGCCAACACTTCTATTGGAGCTACAACTATGGTTTAGAAAACCAATGTAATGCCTGCAGAAAATGTATCTGATCCTTAGGTGCTCTGAATATGTGTTTTTATGAACATTTTTGATGCCTCATATTTTTTGGGTTTTTTTTTTTTTGGAGATACATCTATCATGTTCTTTGTTGCTTGCCAGCTTGTGAATGTTAATAATGATCTTGTTATTTCTAAAATGAAAATGCAAAAAGCCAATGAAAGTGATCAATGTACGATGGCTTGATTTTTTAAAAAAGATTCTTTTCTGCAGATAAAAGAAAATTTGCCTGGGGGTAGGGAGAAATGAAGAATGAATTAGACTCAACTTTCATCTTCTGTTTACAGGATTTGATAATGACAGTGAAGATGATCTTAAAATACTTAGGCGTCATGCAAAATGATTTTAAACAAACTTTGAGAATAGAGTTTGAAATTCTGCAGTGCACTCAGTATATCCAAGTGTTCACTCTTCATGTATCCTGTCCTTCATATAGAGATGCTAACTTTAATTTGCTTCATTATGTGTGTGTCATCTTTTCTTAATCAGCTAACATGGCTTTTTCTTTCTTCATAAAAGACAATATCAGCTAAAGATAGAAAATCTGAAGCCATGTAGCTATATATGAATCCCAATCTTCTTCTTCTTCTTCTTCTTCTTCTTCTTCTTCTTCTTCTTCTTC